TGCAACTCCAGTCTGAAGTACCACATGGAAGAACTAGCAGTGAGTACAGCTAAGCAAATGACCTAAAACCTCCCTGAGCCTCAACACATCGCTTGTGTTTTGCAACTCACCTTTGTCAGCCTGCAAAGCACCAGTCACACAGCAATCCCCTAAGAATTAACTCTCTCTTTCTTTTAAAACAGACCCACCACACTTCAGATCCAATTTCTCTCTGCTTAGACTTTCTCGTTTCCTCAGAGCACACTAATCACTTTCAAAAGCCGTTCCTTCCTATTCTACCTTCCAGAGCTGTCCATTATGAGTGGCCTGTTGTACCAGAGGGGGAAGGGATAGTTGCACATTTCTGGACTGCACTCTCTTCATCCTGTCTCATCTACCCTTGTGCTGCTGCCACCAAGTAAAATATGGGATGCAGCAAACCTTTTATCTGGAAGGTCAGAGGCTCTGAGGCAGTGTGTTCTCGAGGAACTGGAATTCAGGAGCACTTCAAATCTATTCCCATCTCTCACCCTGACTCACTGCGTGTTTGGCCTCGGGCGAGGTACTAAGAAGGTCAACGTTTCCAGAAGCATACTGCACTTGAGGCACCTTCAGGCTGACTGTCAAGAGGTTCAGAGCAGCCACAGCTCCCACTGAGGTAAAAAACAGAGGTGCACACAAAATTAGAGACTTCTGAAAACATGGCTGCGAACTTGTGTGTTCTCCCATTTGTAAGTGAGGAGAGCAATGTTTACCCACCTTTCTGAGGGGCTGTGGGCATTAACTGATGGTTACACAGGGCTGTAGCATTTTAAAGAACTCTGTAATTGCTGGGCATTTTTATTATCAGGGTGGTAGCTCATGAAAACTAAAGGGTGCATTAATAAAAAGACCTAGATCTTAGATAGGCCTTTTCATCAGTCAATCACAAAGTGCCTTACACCAGTGACAAGTATCAGAGGAGTAGCCGTGTTAGTCTGGATCTGTAAAAGGCAACAAAGAGTCCTGTGGCACCTTAAAGACTAACAGATGTATTGGAGCATAAGCTTTCGTGGGTGAATGCCCATGTGTCGGACGAAGTGGGCATTCACCCACGAAAGCTTATGCTCCAATACATCTCTGTTAGTCTTTAAGGTGCCACAGGACTCTGTTGCCTTTTACACCGGTGAGTGAGGCTTATTATCTTCTTTTTACAGATAGGGAAACTGAGGCAGAGAGGGGTAGTGACTTGCTCGAGGTCACAGCAGGTCAGTGGCAGAGCCAGGAACAGAACCCGAGTCTCCTGACTCAGGATCCAATGCCTTGCCTACCAAAGTATACTGTATAATGGGCATACATAATCCTTTCAAAGGTTACTAGGAATTAATGTACATGTCCTGAGGAAAAAAGGCTTCTTAAATTATGCATTGTGGCACTCAGTACTCTACATGTGTATTATCTGTCTTGTTAAATCCCTGTTAATTGGTTGAAAGGACAGTTGGATGGCTGTTATGACAGTTATCTTCTGGGCTGCCGGTCATGCTGTTATTTCCTAAGGAAATGCAGCTAACAACATGGATATGGCTCAGCTGAGGAACAGATCAGTTTTACATGGACAGAAAAATATTTCCTTGTACCCAAATTAGATTTTTGCATGCATGTGCATACTCACCCAAAGCCTGCCTTGCGTTGCTCCATGCCTGAGTTACATGCCAGATTTGCTTTGTTTAGCAGGCATATCATATGCACATGGCAATCTGGCATGAGAGCACATTCTGCCCTTCAACTCCCAAGCAAGAATTCACCAAGCAAATCTAACTGCCGGTAACTTTGTGCAGTGAATTGGGCTTTCACTAGGAATTACTGTAAGCTCTCATGACTAATCTTGTACACAGCGTATTTGCTGATCTACTTTTCAGGGTTCAAACTACTTTCTTCCTTAATACCAAAATGCTAAAATCTTATAAAGCACTATTTTTGCTGACTACGTTTCTCTATGCTCTAAGCCTACCACAAGGCATGCAAACAAGTGTCGTTAAATTCATAAAGCTTTTAACTAAAAAAAAAAAATTAAAAATATCAAACATAAATTAAGATATTTATTCCTCTTTATCCATTGTTTTAAGCACTGAATCTTCTCCCAAAATTTTGCAAAGTTCATTCAGTCTCTGCTGCATTTCAGGAATTCCTGCAAGCTGGGATTCTAGTCTTTGTTTTTCCTCACTGAGTGATAAGCGGATAGCAGTGTCCAATTGTTCAAAACGCCAGCCTCCTTCTCCATCAAACTGCAACAAGTGAGTATGGTACTTCCTGCAGAAGAATTTAAAATATTAGTAACGGCTTTGGGGACATTTTTGTTAGTAAGGTTTGAGATTCCTGGGTGTTAAGTGCCTTAAGGCAGACTTTGAGCAAGGCACTTCTTTTGTACAAAACATCTTCACACTGCAATACCACCATGGCTGAGAACAGGCCGTTTTTAGAGTCACTGGGTAAAGCTTTTAAAAGTGAGTATGTGACTTGGAAGCCTAAATCCCATTTTCAAAAAGAGACTTCAGCACTTTGTAGCCTAAGACTTATTGAAAGTCACTAAGGCCTTGCCTACACAGGGATTCAGTAGTTGCTGGCCAGCAGTCTATGTAGCTGCACTGGTGCTGACCCCTGAGTATAGACAAAGACAAGCTGCAGTTTGCAGCAGTTGAGCCCCCCACCCTCTCAGAACTCCCTGCTGAGGTGGTGCTGGAGGGCGCCCTCAGCTGGGTTATTAGGGGTGCCACCCCAGGGCCTTCTGCCTCAGGGGGTGGAGGTGGCTGTCCCCCACTTCCTGGCTGCCCAACAAGGAACGGCAGTGGTGGCTGAGGCTGCACCCCCCTTCAGCTGCCAGGCAAAGTCCTGTTTCTTCAAATACTGTAACAGCAGAAGCATCTGGGGCTCTCGGTCCAGAAGGGAATGGCAGCAGGGAGCCCCCTTTCCTGGCTGCACTCACCAAAGCAGTCGAGACCTCTACACCTCCTCAACCAGCCAAGGAAAATCCTTCTCTCCTGCCCACCCACCTGAAGAGAATGAGCAGCTGCTCTCCATGGGCACTTACCTGAGCAGAATGCCTCATGCTGCAGGGAGTCCCCTTCACACAAGGACATCACAACTGTCATCACACAACTCCACAGCTATGGGGCCCCTATACAAACCCTATCCCCCATTTATATAAAATGGCCCCTTCCACTCCATAGAATGGAGGGAGCATACAGACCATTTAATTTTATGTGATATTATACCTTCCTACCAGAAAGTCCACAGGTCCCGATATTTTGCAGGACGTGGTGCAGCAGAATGCTATTGGTATGACGGTATTTATTTTATGTTATACGTCAGTTTTCCTGAATTTCAAGCCCTGACTGTAAGCGTTGCTTGTCCAAACACTTCAGTCCTCCAGTGTTACTTGATTTGCAAGCAGTGAAAAAAAACAACCCTGCACAGGTGTCATAGATCTTTCAATCAACAGCAAGGCGTGTGCTCAAAGAAATATTACAAGATGTGCACGTGGACTTTTTCAAGAGACACACAGACACTTAAAAGAACATGGGGGAGGGGAATTCCAGCGGATGTGCTGTTATGAGCTGGGTAATTGATAGTGAAGTTTATTGATGTTGAACTAGATCACAAAGTGGTGATTATCAAAGGCATGTAATTCCATAAAGGAGATGTGATAAATTAATAAACTTCCACAGTTTATGACATAATTAGCAGATGAGATATAATTGAATCATTATAATGACCACATCACATGCATTGTTCTGTATAGCACAGATTGCTTAACCAATCTTCTTACACCCACTCCCAAAAGTCACATCAATTAGAAAGAAGACACTGTCTTGAGAAGAAAATAGTCTGAGATGGCTGATTAATGCTGTCCGGGGGAGCAGCCAATCTGCTGCATGAAACATAAAATAACCGGTATTGCCCAGTGTTGTCCTTGAGGAGGAGAGAACAGTTCATAATCTGATCTTCTGTTTCTGCACTGCAATAACCAGGAAGCAAAGCTGAGTTGAAGAAGTTTTAAGTCTAAGGGTATGTCTTCACTACCCGCCGATCCGGCGGGTAGCAATCGGTCTATCGGGGATCGACTTACCGCGTCTTGTGAGGACGCGGTAAAATCGATCCCTGATCGCTCTGCCATCGACTCCAGAAATCCACCTCGGCAAGAGGCGGCAGCGGAGTCGGCGGCAGCGCGGCAGCGGTCGGCTTTCCCCCGTCCTCACCGCCAGGTAAGCCGACCTAAAATACGCAACTTCAGCTACGGTATTCACGTAGCTGAAGTTGCGTATCTTAGGTCGGACCCCCGCTGTAGTGTAGACCTAGCCTAAATCTCAGAATGTTGTACTTCCTTCTTCCCATTCAAGACCAAGAACATCACCTGCACCTGCACAATACACAGTGTATATTCCCCACAAGTCTATGAAATGGATGTATTAAAATTTGTGTCTCTTGCTATCAAACCATCAGATCAGTTGATAATTTTGATAAACAAATGGAGATTACAGGAGGAACTGGAAACCTGCCTGACCAGCATAATTATCTGAAAACAAGTAAAAACAGTGGAAGTGTAGACCTCCAAAGACCTTCAATCCAAACCAATACATAGAAGCTCCCTCTGGGTTCTCACTCTCTTGTAGGCTAGACACCTCTCCCCGACTCCCGTACTTAACTAGATACTTCCTTTCTTATCCAGCGATTTTAAAATAGTCTTGCCCCTTTTTATATTTAAATAGGGTTTTTTATTTTTAAATGTAATCTAATCTCTTTTAAAAATAAGTGGAATATGGGAGCTGAGCTTGTGGGTGGCAAACATCTATTTTTCCAGATTTTCTGTCATTTGAGTTTTTTCATAATTTAGGCCCCAATCCTACACATGCTTTACTTTCTGCTCTGTGAGTAGTCCCATTGACTAGGGAGGAATACGGCGGAAGCACTCCTTTTCTCAGGCCTGGTCTACACTAACACCCCAATTCGATCTAAGGTACGCAACTTCAGCTACGTGAATAACGTAGCTGAAGTCGACATACCTTAGTTCGAATTTACCGCGGTTCAGACGCGGTCCACACACGGCAGGCAGGCTCCCCCGTCGACTCCGCGGTACTCCTCTCGCTGACGTGGAGTACCGCAGTCGACGGCGAGCACTTCCTGGTTCGAATTATCGCGTCCACACCAGACGCGATAAATCGAACCCGGAAGTTCGATTGCCAGCCGTCGAACTACCGCGGTAGTGTAGACAAGCCCTCAGAGAAGCTAAGGGAATGGGACAGTATTACAGCATATTTCAACTGTGAGGTCAAGCTGGCACAAGGCCTTTTGTCACAGGATAAAAAAAGAAGGTGGCAGTGGAGAACTTGGACTTGAGGACTAATGGTTCCCATTTAGTAACAACAGATTTGTGCTTTTTTGCTTTCTTTGCACTTAACATTTGTATGTATCTGACTACTTGATAGGCTCTATAAAAATATTGCCTATGCTGGGATCTTTTATAGTTGTTACTGCCTAATTTAGAAAGGTCTCTCACTGTCCCAATATTTTTCTTTGTATAAACAACCTGATTTGTAAATATGAAATATAACTTTTCTGCCTGCGGGTGCACTGAGAGGTAAAAAAAAATGCAGGATTAGAATGCATAATTGACACTAAAAATGATGGGTCTGTTCTTCCTTGTAAAAGACAAAGGAGATTATCTTGGTGACATATTGGCCATCTTCTTCTTCCAAGCAATGGACAACCTACCTGAGAAGTAGCCATTCTATTTATCTTTTCCCTTCATGTTTACAGAATAATATGGTGATACTTGCTACAGCTGTGACATGATGTATTAATTAATTGGCTCTTTAGCTATCTGCATGTTGCTATTAAGAGTGAAAAATTCAATTGCATTAAAAAAGGAAATAAATAGGTGTACATAAAAGGGAGAAAATCAGTGCTAAATGCATTTACATGTCTATTATTGTAGTCAAGTTATCTTAAAAGGAGTGTAGATATTGATTTAACAAGTGTACTGGAGCACAGAAGAAAAGCGAGTCTATCATCTGGTAGAAAGCTAAAAATAACCCCCCATTGTAAGTACTTGGATATACTCACCAAAGAGAAGGTCTGTGTGTAATAGAAAGCAAGGATATCCCAGAACCTTTTGCAGCTTGGAATATCTTTCCTTCAACATCAATGCTTACAGCACTTGTACATTCATCCAACAATGCATATTTTGGTCTTTCAAAAGAAAAGAAAATGTGTTACTCATTTAGTTTTTCCACAACATTCCTATACACTATAGATACAATGCTTAATTTAAAGAACAGAGATGATGCTTGTTTGGGGGTAAGATAACTGGTTTTCAAAGACCACTGTGACTAATCTAGTACTGTAAGCTGGTATGCAACAGCACAATGGCCCCACTCCTCAAACCCTTACTCAGTTAAAACTGCCTTGGTCTTTTCATTATAACCCACTAGTGCGTGGGGGTAGAGTAGAGGCTTCACTCTACATGCAGCAGATTAGTGAGAAGTTTGCAAATGCTGTACAATATCATCAGAAGCTCCAAAGTACTAATAAAAATACATTAAAAACCTTAACCTAGGAGCCCAGCTTGGTGGATCAGTGATAGTGCACTGCACTGCCACTCAAGAGACCTGGGCTCAATCCCAGATCACACTCTCTTACTCCCCAGGCCACAAGGGAAGCATACAGCACCTGAAGGAAGGGAATGCATTACGCTGTTTAAAGGCAGCGACTCTGGCTGACAAAAGAATATAGTGGGCAGCTACTCAAAATAGGTTGATGTTAAATTACACACATGAGGCTTATACCCTAGAACACTGGTTCCCAAACTGGGGGGCATGCCCCCCTGGCGGGGGGAGGAATTGAAGAAATTCCAAGGTGGGCAAGAGGCTGCCCGGCCCTTGAGCTCCTGGCCTGGGAGGCTAGCCCCCGGCCCCTCCCCTCCCGCCCCCCCCACAGCCATGCTGCCCTGCGGGCAGCACAGCTTGCACCCACCCACCTCCCAGACTTTTCAATAAGCCAGTTCTGCCGCTCTGAGCGGCCTGGTAAGGGGGAGGGGAGCGGGGGGGCTGGATAAGGGGCAGGAGATCCCAGGGGGCAGTCAGGGGACAGGGAGCGGTTGGATGCGACAGAGGTTCTGGGGGGGCAGTTAGGAGACAGGGAGCAGGGGGGTTGGATCGGCATGGGAGTCCCGAGGGGCCTGTCAGGGGGTGGGGGCAGTCAGGGGACAAGGAGCAGGGGTGGTTGGATAGGGGGTGGGGTCCGGGAGG